CCTCGAGAGCCGCGCGCGAATCGTGCAACAATTTTTTTTTTGCAGCCGACGCTTCGTTCAAACAAACATGTTTTTTTCTATATTTTCCCCATTTTCCCAAATAAATTAAATTGAATAACGATAAGAGGGCCCTCGCTCCACTGCTCTCAACATGCACAAAAGACAAAAATCATGGCGGTGTACCTTTCCATGTTTTAGCGCAAGATTCAGTCTCATTTTGCACATTTGCAGAGTAGTGAGCCTCGCTCCACCTATGGAAGTATTGCATACTCTCCCTCATGAGGTCGCTAACTGGCGGCGACCGAAACTAGTCGGGGATGCCAGCTCCTCGGTCGTCATAACGGAGGTGCAAGCTATGGAATGTGCTTCATTGTTGTATTCTGTGGATTTTTTGGACATCATTTTCACATACTCCTGCTGCGCAGTGCAGCTATGCGTTGGGCGTTCGTCGCTCTTGACCGACTTTGCTATTTTCTATAACTCGCTCCAGTACTCTCCAAATGCGCAAAATGAGAATGAATCTTCCACTAGAACATGGAAAGATACACCGCCATGATTTTTTGTCTTTTGCGCATGTCGAGAGTAGTGGAGCGAGGCCACGGCGTACTAGAGAAAGGTGTCTTTTCTTCACTTTTACTTTTTTCGCGAATACATTATGTTCTTGACCGTCTCAAATTTCGTGTCGTGCAAAAAAACGTTTTTTTCTCGAATCGTTCAGACCAAAACAGTGTCGAAGGACTTCGCCAAAAAACGTTTTTTTCTCGAATCGTTCAGACCAAAACAGTGTCGAAGGACTTCGCCGCACCGCTCAAGAAAAAACCGTGCCAAAAAATGAGAATGCATCTTCCGATAAAGCATGGAACTATACACCGTCATATTTTTTTTGTCGTTTTGCGCAGTTGGTGAGTGGGTACGGCGAGGCACCAAGTCGACCGATTTTTTTTTGATTTTTTTTTTTTTTTTTTTTTTTTTAACACAACGCATTTCATTTCATTGCAAGAAAAAACATCGTTCGAGGCCGGGGATCCTCACAATTCACCCCGGTGTCATCCTCTGGCAGCCTCAGCCAGTTTAGCTTATACAATGATCAAACGTGAGTCCTACTCGCTTCCGGAGGAGAGAGGATCGGGGACACTTTCTTCCCCCCCCCCCCCCACCCCCTCCTCTTCGAGACTCGGGAATTGAGGAACGGATAGATAGAAAAAATCGGAAGGCCTTGGAAAGGAAATTCAGTCGTAAGATATATAGATCATGCCTCGTTTTTAAATGCCGAGGCCTCAATAATTAGTACAGAAGCCTTTTTTTTTCTTTTTTTTTTTTTGAAATAACAATTAAGACCTCAATCGATCTTTTGAGACCTTCGTTGAAACTTTCGAGAAACCTCGGAGTTACTCTATTCCCTCCTGATGAGGCTGGCTGGCTCCAGCCGAAACGGGTCGAGGATAGCCAGATTCTACCGTCTTTTGGACGGTAGGTTACCATAGCCAAGGCTATGGTGGTACTCTTCGTGTTTTCACTCTGATTATTAAGAGTATCCTATTCCGAGTTTTTCACATTTCTGGCATTTTGTCTCACTCAATGTGCTTGTGTATGCGTACTGCCGATCTGAGCACGCTGGTATTGGCGCTTCGCTCTCCTTCCCAATCCCAATCCGTTGAAACTGCAACGATGCAGCTAATTATGATGATGATTATGATGATGATTAGCAATAATGATGATAATTATGATGATGATTAGCGTGGGCCCTACGCTCTCAAAGATGACGCGCAAGTCAAGAAATAATGCTCCCAGTACCTGCTTAGGATTTAGTTTTCGTTCATTTGTTTCCTGGGGAAAAAAAAAAAAAAGAGTAGGAAGAGGGGAAATACGGGAAGAGAGGCAGCAGAGGAAATGTAGTCTGCTTAAAAAAAAAAAAAAAAAAAAAAAGTTGCCTTTCTCTTTCTCAACAACGTTTTCCACGCTAATGCGTTCCTCCTTTTTTTTTTATTTTTTTATTATTATTTATTTCCAACGCTAATGCCTTCCTCAACTCAATGGGTGACATAAGCGATAGAGTTTTTCAAATGTGCTGAGTTGATGAGTTGGGGGCGGCGGCGGATGATACATTTCACAGGTCCTGTTATTTCGCCCTCCTCACGGGGCCCCTTCCTTGTCTTTATGAGGATACGGGACCCCCCCTCGTTGTCTTTGTGGGGATACGGGACCCCTCGTTGACCCCGTCCCCGCCCCCACCACGTTATCTTTGTGGGGGTGTGGGATCCCCCCTGGTAGTTATTTTTATTGGGGTGTGGGATCCCCCCTGGTAGTTATTTTTATGGGCGTGTGGGAGCCCCCTAGTTATCTTTGTGGGGGTGTGGGATTCCCCCAGGTAGTGATCGTTATGGGGGTGTGGGACCCCCCCCGGGGCGAGGTCCCACTAGCGAAGGGAATAAGATAGAAATCCTGAATCTGCCTATGTTTTATTTCAGAGATACAGAAAAGCTGTTCTATCTCGATTTCCTGCTCCTGTCCTCAAACACGTCCAGATTCAGGCATTCAATCGGATGCTCTTTGCTAATGGGACCACGGCCCTGGTTATCTTTATGAGGAAGGGGGTGGCGAGGTAAAGCCGGGGGGGGGGGGTTATCTCTCGGAAATGACGCCTCGTACGGTTTGCTGTTGGCTTTGTATTGATTGATGGGACGACCGACGTGTGGATTGCGGTTCTGGTTGTCTGCCAGAATGTCAGAAGAGCATGAGCATGCTCATGTCTTTGTCAATCCCGAGGACTGCAACTGGTTAAAGAAAAGAGTATGCAATATATTCCATACGTGAGGAGTAGAAAAAAAGAGAAAAAAAGAGAAAAAAAGAGAAAAAAGAGAAAAAAAGAGCATGATCGGGGAGGCGCATTGTCCGTAGATCGGTCGGTAGATCGTCGGTGGACGTATCGTCGGTGCATCGCGCGTCGTGTTCTGAGGAGGAGGTGGAGGTGGAGGTGGAGGCGAAATTCTGATCGGAGGAAACAGGGGTTTGCGGAGAATGGCGCTGCGTGTGGGGTGTGTGGAGTGGGGAGTGTGGAGTTTGTGAGCGTGCATAGGAGCATAGAAAACGAGGTGGCGACAGGAATCATCTTGGCGTGTCTGATTGATTGGTTAGCTGTGTGAAGCGAGCAAGGAATCGATCGATTAATTGGTTATCGACTCCGTCGATCAATCGGTTATCAATCAATGAATCAATCGATCGATCGATCGATCATTCAGTCAATCAATTGCTACTGTTAATCGATCGATCAATCCATCAACCAATCAAATCAATCAATCAATCAATCAATCAATCAATCAATCAATCAATCAATTACTCGAACAGTCAAACAGTCGATCAATCAATCAGTAAGTCAATCAATCAGTAAATCAATAATCAGAATCAATCAATCAATCAGGTTATTTGGTGAAAGCTATTAATCGTATCTTGTTCTGTCATCCAGATCTCCTCGTCCTTTCGAAGACCTTCCTCCTTTCCCCCTTATTGTGAATGATAATCCCATTTGCCGGGCGGGCGGTGACTACCCCCTTCTTCCCTCGAATACAACATACGGTCATTGTAGCTGTATTTAGACTGAACGATACCCCAAATACAGCCATAATGACCCGCAATATGCCAGCGTAGCAACGGAATCTTTTTATTCAGCGTTGTACCCTCCTCTCCCATTAACCCGTCTTTGCCTTCCCCGTTCTTCGCTTCTCCTCTCCCTCCCCCCCCCCCCCCCCCCCCCCTTCTTCGCTTCTCCCCCATTACTCCGTGTTTTCTCCGACTGTCCGTATATGGGGGTATATACTGATATACAGGTTGATTGATCACTGATTGCTTGTTGATTGCTCGGTGACTGGTAGATTGACCGTAGGGGTATATACTTATGGGATTGGTTGTTGATTGGTTGATCGATCGCTGGTTGGGCGTTGATTGACTGTGATTGGCTGATTGATTGTTGATTGATCGTTTTGATTGATTGGTGATTGGTTGGTGATTCATTCTTGGCTGATTGTCGACTGTTTCGATCGCCAGGGGGGGGGGTGGAGGCATGTGGGTCCCAGATCACCCACCACCTTTTCTGCGTACTTTTTTTTTCTTTTTTTTTTTTTTTATGCCAGGAAATCAATCCGTCGATTCCATCGTCATCTGTTTCTTCTTCCTCCCTTTGACGCGCCCTATAACTCCATGTCACCGAAGCTTTTCCTAGCGAGCAACGCCTATTCAGCGGATGCGATTCTCCACTCTCTCTCTCTCTCTCTCTCTCTCTCTCTCTCTCTCTCTCTCTCTCTCTCTCTCTCTCTCTCTCTGTGTCTCTATCTATATATTTATCTATCTATCTCTCTGTCTCCGTCTCCCTCTCTCTTCCGCCTGTAACCGCTCAAGCATCCATCCACAGGATTATGTTTTGCCTCTATGAAGGAGCGGCGTTGTCAATCTGCTTGTGGTGGGAGGACACTTTGGGGATCTCAACTCCCAAGTCCCAACTGACAGACGGGCTCTGCAGACTGTTGAGGGTTCAGCCTCCTGATGAGTCGGTGAAACTCCGACGAAACAGTTTGTCACAGCCCCTCGTTTGTTGTCCTCTTCTCTCTCTCTGCCTACGGTTTACCGGGCAGTTCTGTTTGTGACGATATATAACCTACGGTTTACCGGGCAGTTCTGTTTGTGACGATATATATATATATACATATACATATATTCTCTCTCTATATATATATTCTCTATATATCGTCACAAACAGAACTGCCCGGTAAACCGTAGGCAGAGTCTCTATTCTCTCTCTCTGCCTACGGTTTGCGGGGCAGTTCTGTTTGACGATATATATCGTCAAATAGTATAGTATATGATATATGATATACTATATATATATCGTCAAATATATTACATATATTTATATAAATGAGGCGGAAAGTTGGCTTCCACATATGTAGACATGAAGTTGATGGGTTCCAATTGGGATAAGAAAACTAACTCGAGTTAAGATGATGGTAAGTGTGTGTTTTAAGACGAGAACAGAAAAATGGTAGTGTGATTGAAGTTCAACGTGGAGGGGGAAAAAAATAAAAAAATAAAAATAAATTCAACCTGGAGGAAAGAGCGCGGAGGTTGCTTCTCTAGGCTCGTGCTGGGATCGAGGTGTTGGGTCGGCCGTGGGCCGTCGTTGTCGTTTAGCTATTTTCGCTCGGATGTGGCGCCGTCCGCGCTGACCTGGTCCTCTGCACGTGATTCCGGTCCCGATGGGCATCATCCGTTCGCATCTCGCTGTAGAGGGAGGGGGAGGAGGAAGAGGAGGGGCTTCCACCAGCGGCGGTGCTGTCCATCTTCCGGCCCGGATCCTGATCTGCAGTCTTCTTGAGGTCAGTGCCCTCTCTGCGCTGGTGGTCCAGTGCAGATGATGACTTGACACGCGACTGCTTCGTTGAAGTTGTTGCTGCACTTCCTCGGACTCACCGCTCTCCTCCTCCTCCTCCTCCTCCCCCTCCTTACCGCTTTCGTCATCATCTTCTCCCCTGCTGCCGCTCGTGTTCCTGTCCTCGGCTACTCTCACATTCCCCGCGTTCAGCTGATCCCTTCCTCCTCCTCCTCCTCCTCCTCCTCCTCCTCGTTTGCCCGCATGATCACCACTCTCCTCCTCCTCCTCCTCCTCCTCCGTCTGGATGTTATCTGTGTCGTTCCGATTGGTCACCTCCTCGTCCTCCTCCGTTCCTTCGTCGTCGGCTGTGTACGACTGCTTCTCGTTCAGCTCATCTGTCACCCTGCCGCTGCCTTTCTTGTCGGTATGGTTATCATCATCGCGATCCCGACCGATGTCGGCCACCTCCTCGTTCTCTTCGTCTTCTCCTTCCCCGTCGTTCTCATCATAAGCCCCCTTGCTTCCCTTTCCCGTGCTGATGATGACGTGGTGGATGATGGCCACGATCGGCTCGTCGTTGTCTTCAGGGACGTCATCCTCGTTCTGGTTAAGGCGATCCCGATCCCGATCGCGAGGGGGAGGAGGAGGTGCACATCGTGAGGAGGGAAGTTGGTGCTGCTGCTTATGTGCTTCGTTCGCCTGATACCCACTTATCCCCTCCTCCTCCTCCTCCTCCTCCTCCTCCTCCTCCTCCTCCTCCTCCTCCTCCTCATGCTCATGTTCAACTTTCTCCTCCCCCACCTCTGCCGCGTCTCTCTCCTTGCCCTCGCCCTCGCTGTCCTCCTCCTCGTCCTCAGGCTCGTATTCATGGTCATCGTTCACCTCCTCTACCTCGGCTATCTCTGTGGCCATGCCCTCGCTGTCGCCCTCGTCGTCGTCGCACTCTCCCCCGTTGCGCGCGGTGTGGGCAATGCGCGCCGTGTGGTGGTGGTCCTCCATTTCTACAGCTGCAGGTGTCCCCGCTCGGGATCCGTGTCGCGTTAAGAGCGCATTAGCGGGGTCATCGTCTTCCTCGATTTCTGGGACCGCAGGCTCTTGATGAGAGCTTGTCTGAGGTGCCAGGTCATCGGCCATGTCAGCAGCTTCGTCAGCAACCTCTTCGTCATCGTCGTCCTCATCATTATCCTCGTCATCGTCCTCTTTGATGTGATGGGGTATTTGTAGGCGAGAAGATCGACTTCCCTTGTCAGTTCTCAGCGACAGTATCGGTGGGGTTGGGCTGGTCGTCTTCTTGGTTGTCGTCGCTGCTGAGTTCATCTTTGGCTTTGGTGCTTTTTCCTGTTCTGTTGCGTAGCTGGGAGACGCAGAGAAGCGAGCCCGAGCTGGAGGGTGGAGGCATGGACATGGTGCTTCTCGACTCTTGTGGTGTGCATTGCGTATGTACACGTGTATCGTCTATCTGCATTTACACGTGGCAGCCGCTCAGCGTAGTAGTAGTCGTAGTATTAGTCTTCGTAGTAGAAGTTGTACCAATCACGCCGGTCACGGAGCGCGCGCACGTGGGGGCTCGGCTCGCTCCTTTCTCCTTCACCCACGCGCCAGGTTGCTGGTCGATGATGCTGAGAAGGTATAACGGTTTCCCACAGCAAACGCTTGTGTTAGGAATCAGAAACGTTCGTCGGATGAACCTGGCCGGAGTGCACGGATACATACGGCACTGGTTGCCTCAAAAAAAAAAAAAAAAAAAAAAAAAAAGAGAATCAGAAAACGTTCGCAGTAAGAGAGAGAAAAACCGTTTGGTGGTATTCCCTCCTCCTGTTCTCTTGCTAGCGAAGCCGCAACAGATACTACGACGTTATCGAAGGGATTTGTTACTTTGCTGGCTCGCCTATCTTTTTTTTTCCCCTGTCCCCACGTGTCGTCGTCCTCAGGGATGATGTGGTCCTCAGGGATTGCTTGTAAGATGCTGCTGGCCAGCCCGCGGTCTCGATTGACCATGTGATTCATGCTCGTCTGATTACCACACTCGCGCTCTCTCATCCTCGCGCTAAGGAGGTAATCTTAGGCATATAATACTCAACGGCATCGGCTTGGTTGACCTTATTTGCACACGTGTCAGCCCGCCATGGGGCCATCACGATTGACGAAGCCTTCCTATTCGACCCGGTTCTCCCATTATGATTATCCACTTCCTGCACGTGCGCGTGACACAATCAGTCTAAACTACGGGGTTTGGTCAACATCCCACCCAGTAATAGATTGATCAATCAAGCAGTCGATCCCATCAATCAATCAATCAATCAATCAATCAATCAATCAGTCCCATTAACAAGTCGATCACATTAGTCAAACAGTCTATCTCATTAATCAATTGATCAATCGGTCTGAAGCACAGGGCTCAGTAAAACCAGTTGGTCAATCAAGCAGTTGCTCACATCAATCAATCAATCAATCAATCCCATTAATCGGTAGGTCCCAGTAATCAAGCAGTCGATCTCATTAATCAATCCATCAATTGGCCTGAAGCACGGGGCTCAGTAATCAGTTTGATCAATCAAGCAGTTGACCCCATCAATCCATCAATCCGTCAATCCCATTAATCAGTCGCTCCCATGCATCAATCGATCCCGTTAATCAAGCAGTCGATCTCATTAATCAATCGATCACTCAGTCTGTAGCACAGGGCTCAGCACATCCTTTAATTAGTCGATCAGTCGGCCTCAATTACAGGGTTCAAGTCCGGAGCTCGTTTGTCTTGTACCGTGGGCACTGATTCGAACTTAAGCACTTCGATGAAGTGTCGTCAATTGCCGAACATTCGCTGACAGGAATCTTCAGGCAGCCGATTCAGGCAACCGATTAATGAATCTGTTGGATCACGAAACTGATCCATCGTTTTGTTGTTCATTTATTCAGATCAATTAATCAAAACCAATCATTCAATCATTCAATCATCCAATCAACCAATCAACCGAGTTGGTGATCGACCAACCAACCAATTAATCGATGAACTAACAAGTCGGTCATTTACAAGCTAGCTACTTAATCATCGGCATGGGGACGGGTGGCATTCGCCTCGGTGAGTTCCTGCCGGCTTGCCACGTGTGGGACGTGAATAGGCCGTGTGTCGTACGCCGCATGTTCTCGCTGTTGGGCTGTCAAACTATATATGATATCAGCAATCAAGGACAATAATGCTTGATACTGAAGGATCTAACACGGTTCAAAAGAGTACATACTCACGGGAGGACTTGTTGGACTGTATCTGGCTGTGATTGCGGTCATAGGAGGCCTCCGGAAAAGTGCTGGTGTGTGAAATAGTACTCTCGACTCTCCACTATTGGCCGACTTCTAGAGTGGTCTGTACCATTCTTCACGCAACAACAACGTGCTTTTCGGAGCGTTAGTATAGTGTAGTAAAACGTCTTTCAGCCTTCGGGGGGGGGAGGGGGTTCTGTTCTTCTGCCCCCTGATTCCGTTGAGGAGAGGGAGGCAGGGGGGGGGGTTCTGTTCTTCCCCACCTGGTTCCATTCGCAACTACAACGTCTACCCCTCTGCCCACCTTCTTGCTTGCCGCCCCTTTGTGAAATATAACGATGCTGGACTGCTCGTTGAGCTGCGGATCATTCGTTCATTTAGCTGGTGTTACATGCGATTCTCATATCAGATGTCAGATATGTTGTGTGTGCTAAAACGCTCATTTACTATTGCCGCTTTGACATATAAATAGTATCTATCCAATTGCTATGTAATGA